GAAAGTTTTTCGTTCAAAACTACTTTATTACGTTAGATTTAAATAAAGTTGTATTGCTAACGTTTTTAAGTTGAATAGGTACAAACTCTCTAGTGATAGGAGACCGGGTTTAATGTTTAAATTTGGTCACTCTTGTAGTATGTTTTGGTTAGTCAACCGTAAATCAAACTTTTGGTTTATATCTTGTAAATTCCTTAATTAGTTTGGGTTTATTAATAATAAATAACATAGGTTTACCACGAGGATAAAGTAGTCCTAAGGGGCCTTGGCGGCAGGAATTCTTCGGGGAAAATGTCCGACGGCTAAATCGATCAGAGGGTTTAAATAGGGGATCCACAAGCGGATCTTAGATATGGCAATTGGTGGGTAACTATAGATAGAAATAGATATAGCAGAACCCTTAATTAGGCAATGACTAAAGTTGTATGTGTGGCCAATTGTACTCTCGTTGATGTAACAAAGTCAAGGGCTATTCGTTAACTCTGAGATTTGAACCGTAAGTTAATAAACCGTGCCAGACCCCAAGTGGTCACCTTAATATATACAAAAAAAAAAAATAATAATAAAAATAATAATAACATTTTTATCCCACTTTGCGTATCTACCTACTCTCTAAAGTATAAGTTTATAACATCTTTCATTGTATTTATTAGTTTGTGTGTTTCTTGTATAAGGTTTTTTCGTTTTCTAGTAGTATTATCACGATAAATCTTCATGTATTTTGATTGGTTGATTATCACGGGAAATCACGAGTAGATCTACAAAAATCAACCAATCATATGAATGTCTTCCCATGTCTTGCCATGAGGGCTGTTCTGGGTCATCTATAATTTGATTTGCAGATAGACGACCTCTCTTTTAATAAAGAGTTACCTATATTCATCATGAAAAAAAATTGCAACTTCATTATCTTTATATTGTAACTATCTCAATACAGCTGCACTGTTAGTCACAGACTTCAGAAATACGATAAACACGCTTTACAAAATTTGAACCCGATATTTAAGTTTCAAGAAATTAAAAAAAGAAATAAATTAAATTTATTAAATAAAATCTAATCGTAATACAGTATGCTAAAAATATAATTTAAATAATTTGAAATGCTTCATAATCGTACATCGAAAATTCTTTAACGGTTCTGATTGGTTTTTCATATGAAAAAATTTCACAGGAACAATTATTATCACCTTTTAGACTCGAACCACACGATTTCAACAATAAGTCCGTTCCACCAAAACTTTGGCCATAATCTTTCGCATTAACTATTGCTTTTTTGTACTTTTTAATACGACTCAAAATCGATGGTTTAGAATTGTCAATACTTAATGAAAATATAAAGCTATACTTCGTTTGAAGAAAACCTGACTTATGATTTCTATTCCATGAAAGTGGATTATAACCACCTAATATCTCGTCTGTTTCACATACTTTTAAAATAATTACAATTTGAGGTACTTTATCACATAATTTATGAAATGTTTCGCATTCAAAACCATCTCTACTACCACGAATAAGTAATTTAAACTGGCTTACTACTTTGTTGGCGACATGTGGTACTTCATTAATCCATGACAAAATCTCTTTCATATGATTTTCTGTGATGATAGTTGAAAGTTGTTCAGTAGAATAGTATATCGGTATTGACGGAAAATCTTCAATAGGTTCAGCATGATGTCCATATTTAGAGTCGTGCGAAAAATTAGCATTTCCAGAAGATTGACTGATTGTACTTGAGCTGTAATTTATAACCTGTAATTTGGCCTTGTCATTGTCTTCAATAGCATCTAATTACATAAGGCCATTCATTAAAGAATTTAACTATCAACGTAACTATTTTAAAGTATAGGAAAACTTACTATAGTATTTGAATACATGCTCCAGCTCTAATAATGCAGAAGGTAGTTGACAACGCTCTTTAGGCTCGTACTTTGTTAAATCGGAAATTAGTTGTGTATAACGATTTGGAATTCCTTCTGGTAAATTTTTCAACAGACGACTCATTGTTTTTTTGTCGCACTTTTGTTGTTTTATTTTATCATCACTTAATTCTTTATAAGGCATCTCGCCATCCATAGCGACTAAAGAGAAATAAATCAGGAATATTCCATATAAACAAAATACAATGAGATTCATTGACTTTACCTGACCATAAAATCAATCCAAAAGAATATACATCTGAAAGCTTAGGGTGTCTATTAAAACATTTACTCTCAATAAGTATCTCAATAGGTAATTAATATTAACTCAGAAAAAAAAGATATGTAAAAAAAAAACATATTTATATATACTTTTCAAAAAATTCACACATTTTAGCATCAGAACTAATACGTTCAGGAGCTACCCAATTTAAAGTTCCACCAGCTTTTCCGCCACTCAGTTCAAAACGACTCTTAGAATTTGAAAGTCCAAAGTCTGCCAATTTTGGTATAAAATCTTTATCTAAAAGAATATTTTCGGGTTTAAGATCGAAATGATATACATCATTTTTATGGCAATGCATCACACCACGAGCTATCCCGTGACATATTTTAGCTTTGGATACCCAATCGACTTTATTTACTTTAAGATATTGAGACAGATCACCATTTGGTGCATATTTAAGAACAAGTTGATAATTTTCATCTATGACTCCAAACAATTTAAGTGATTTTGTAAGCTGAAATAAATTTCAAATTCTGTTCTTAATTGTTTATTATTTTGATACTGTCGATTTTTATATCATAAAGATTATAAAGATTATAAATAATGTATATTAGCAATTTTAAAACATTCACTTTTAACTAAATAAAAATAAAGGAAAGAAAAAAATTACACTATCATATATCAAAGAATAGAAATGAATTCAATACTACACCTTGCATTGTTTTACTGCTGCTTCTCCATCCCGAAATTTAGCTCTATGTATTTCTCCCATAGCACCGGTTCCGATTTTTTCAAGTATTTCAATATCAGACCTTTTTATTAATATACCGTCAGACATTTTTGCTATTAATTTGTTTATTTCAAGTTTATTTCAGAACGTCAAAAAAAAAAGACGAGATTATGAATAAATAAAACATTCAAACAAAGGGTGGTATGAACGTATAATTTCATTAATTTCATTAGCTATAGGTATACTAATCATTTTGTTTTAAAATTTTAAACTCCGTGAGGATACCATCTTTGGAAACCCATTTTTCAAATTTATGCTACACCACCATAGTTTAGATTATTGCGTTTTGCAAAAAAGTGTGACCCCTGCAAATCTTGATGTCATATAAAATCGCGGAAAATTAGGCGATTATTCGATTGTAAGCGAATTTTTACAGATTTCCAAATATAGGGGATGGCTAAAGCCATGTACCCACGTAATTTTGACGTTTTAATCGTTTAATGAAAATTAATATTAGAATTAGCGTTAGTTTGGTGTTGATATAAAAGAGTGATATAGGTAAAAATTGCCTTCTCGACATTTTTAAATAGTCCCAAAACAGGTTTAGACTGCCGTTTTTCGTCTCTTTGTGTTTTCTTTATTTTCGAACTTCTTCGGGCTAATCCGTGAAAAATTTTTTCGCAATTCCGGTT